AAAAACTGCCGAAGCTACCGAAGATATTATGATATATCAGATTACAAATATGTAAATTATTTAATTATTTTTTAATTTTAATGTAGTGTTAGCGATCACTTTATACCCTTGTTATACAAATTTTCGGATGTCTTGGTTAATTGGTATTTTTCTAATACAGTAATAAAAAAAAAAAAAAGTATTTAATATTTTGTTACCGACTTCCATCGAATACCTAGTGTATAGAAAAAACTCATTCCTCTACAAAATTGAACATCTAGTGTATTGAAATAACAGTTCACTCCTTTACAAATCTTAAGCAATCCCTCCGGAATTCAAAATCTTACGATGGATCATATTAATGCAGGTGGTCTAATCAAGAGTGGCGTGCGCATGGGCGTAAACATGTACTTAGACCATAAGGCCAAGAAAACCTGTGAACGTATTTTGAAAGTTCAATTCCAAAAGCTCGTGAATCAGGGTTACTTGTCAGTTATTGGGGACGACGGTTTACAACTTACCGACAAAGCATTGAATGAAAAAATCGGTTTGATGGCTTATTCAGATATGCAGGCATACATGCAGATGAACAATTTTAGTGTAGAGGAAGTTGCCATAGTATCAGGAATACGTGTGCAAATCTGGCTGAATAAAAAATACCAGTCGTGGGATAAGAGAGTCGGAGGTGCATGGCCAAAAACTGCAGACTTTGCAAGGCGTATGAGACAAAGATCAAGTGATGCATTGAATCGTTGGTAGGTGTTTTGTTTCTTTACGCTTGCCTATAAGGTCGGTTTATTTAACTGTTCATTTATTCTGAATAGGTACGCTCCGCATTCCAGTGGTGCCAAACAATCATTAAATCAATCCATGGCATATCTACTTAATGCAGAGGCAGCATTAGGTGACAGTCCCAATGCACTAATAATTGTAACTCGCATTATAGGTCTTGCACAGATATGTGGAATATCAGAGATCGGTTTAGTGGACATAATGGAGGGCTTGTCAATGTCATTTATATTCGAGACGATCGGACGCGTTGTTGTGGCCGGAATGCGCGGACAGCATCCATCTGAAGTATACAATATCGGTTTAGGGATACGAGGAAGCTCAGAAAATGTGCACAAAAATTTCGTGACAGAAGCGGGGGGATTCAAAGGACAACGAGAAGTTATTGGAAAATATACAGGTGGTAGAGTAACTCTAAATTCAATTGTTGCCGAAGTAGTAATGAGAAATCAGCTATATGAAGGAGAGGAAATTTGGTGTATGAGCGGATGGGCAGAAGCTTTAAGAAGACGCACAATAAAATTAAAAGAAGATACCGCAATCGACATTCATGGCAACCTGCTACGATGCAAAAATAGGCTCAAAGTAACCTTAAGTATTAAGAAAGTCAGAGGAGTGCCGATGGCCAAAATTAAACGAGTAATGTGCTTTACATATTGCATAAATGAGAAATTGTGCATTATCTGACTAAAGTCTATTTACTGTGCTTTATATTAATATTAGGTCGGTCCTCTTCATGCCTCTGACATGTTGTGGGGTGGCATCACTGGTATTGCATGTTCGTGTACAAGCCCTGATCCGCGTAAGAAACTCAAAGGAGGAGACCGTGTGGGTAAATTGAAAGTAATTTTTAGAAAGATTGATCCTTTAAGCATGAAACCTGTTCCTCGACAATCCATTGTTGTGTATGAAACTTATGGAGATGGAATTGCGCACCTATTTCTTTCACATTGCATAACTAGTGCGTATGTCAGAGCTGACAGAGAATGCTTGTATTGTGCAGTTTGTAGGGCAGCAGACATTGGATGCAATTCAGTCCTATTGTAATGCATGTAATTGCTGTATTTGAGCACGGAAACGCAGAAAACTGTCACAAATTTTGAAGGCATACTCAAAATTAGTTGAAATTTATAAATTAATATGTTAGAATATATTTTAATGATAATAATTTAATATAAATGCACTGATTTTGGGCTAAGATTTTCTCACAATCATTCCCAAATAGTCACAAAATTATATTAATATTTCTGCATCTATATGTCATAATTGCAATATATAGGTATTAGCATAATTTTTATATATGATTTATGGTATATAAAATTATTTCATATATATACATATCATCAAATAAATTATTTTTATATAATTTGTTATTTGCGCTTTTATCGTTATTATATTTCTGCAATGAAAACAGCTATTTATGCGGGAATGTATAGTTTCAAACTATAACTGTGATCTGATGATTAAGAATAATTAGCAATTTTAAATCAAATAACCATGGTTTTTGACATCACAATGAGTCGCAACATAGTGAAAAATTTTGTATAGCAAATTTGAGTAGTTATTTTAACCTAATATAGTGAAACTCACAAAATTCTCTCAAATATGAGATGCAATGAAAATTTGCATTTTTTTCTTTTTTTTAAACGTAAATAAGAATTATTATTATCTCAGTAATATATTTATGAACTATCTTTCATGTTCTAACAAAAAAATTTCTCACATTGTCTTGACAATGACCAATTAGCCCTGATCTCAATAGTAATAACTTGTTTTTTTTGCATAAATTATGTATTATTTTATTTACCTGGTTAACACTTAACCGCTTAACTGACCTAAATAAATAATGAACAAATAATAATTAAGTGTGGGAAATCTTCTTAAATATATATATTTATTATTTACAACATTTTCAGTATATTTATATTTGGTTTGGCCGTGAGATTGTCGTGCGTATAAACATATTAATATGGTTGTTCCAAAATAAATCATTTTATCAAATTTAATTATTCTTTTATAAATTTATAGAAATAAAATAACGGTTTTACTAAATCACACCAGTGGTGCTAACACCACATCGATTTTGACTAATAAAATCAATGATCTGCAATGTAACGTCAAGATCAGGTGTAAAACAATCTTTTGTTTTTTTAAAAACCATTAATAACTCAAAATTTTGCTTATAAAACTACCTTTTGTGTTCTAATAAAAAAAATCACTTGTAGAATTTTGCTATATATTTATCTTTTTATAGTTCTAGCTATAACTCTAACCTAATATAAGCTAAATTTTAAATTGTTTCTTTAATTTTTTGTTTATTTATTTTGATAATGATCTGGCATACATATATAACTGGTGTTAGCACCACAGGTGTAATTTAGTATTAATGTAAAATAAAATATTTTATTAAATTTAAATATTTGATTGTTAAGAAAGTTTTAATTAAAGTTTAAATAAAAAATTTATTTTAATATTTTTTAAAAAATTTTAGAATCTTTAAATAAGAATTTTTTACTATCTATTTGAATTTAATAAATTTTCTTATTTTAATTAGATTCTAATCATGAATCCTTTTTTAGAGAAAAATAGTATTCTAATTTTAAAAAATATTCAAGTATATTACAACAAATTTCTCATTAGAATAATAGAAGAACTCAGTTATATTATTTTCTTACCTACATACTCTGATTTCGGTATGCACTATGCTACCCAAGTTTATTCATACTTACAACAAACATATTTAATACCAA